CTGCAAAACAACTCGAGAGAAACAACCAAGAAACATATGCTAGACAGAACCTTGGGGATATTCAATATGTCACTTGGCGCACTTGTTTGTCAAGCATGTCTGTACACTCTTGGTGCGATGTTGTACTTGTTTCATCCTGCTAAGTTCTGTGACTGTACTTTGGTCAAAATGTATGGAAATCATCGTGCAACATGTTGTGTTTGTGTCCTGTCCTTTCTCTGATTGCACGTTAGCCAACTATCTAGGAATCATCTACTGTGAAAGTCTGTGCATTCTTTGCATTGCATTGTACAGCATTGCATTTCCATCTCTTCTTCTTTTGTACGTGTGTGTTTTGGCAAGTTTGGCTCTCCCCTTTCTTGTTTCCTGTCCTTTTCAAAACATTGCTTCTAGCACAATCATGTGATCATGTGTTTGTGTGTTCTTCCACTTATTGTGTTTCGTTGCCGTACTTCATCCTTGTTGAACACGTCTTCGTGGTGTCAGTTTATTCTTGTTCTTTGTTTGCTTTCGGTCCTATTTATCAATTTATGTGTTCTTGCATCTTTGTCTGTGGCATCCTTTCTGCGCATTCGCAATCTATTGTTCTCTCCTCTTGCTCAGCTTCCTTTCAACCCACTGCCTTTGCTTGTAAGTTTCAGACCATATGCAAGTCTTTAGGACAAACACTTGCGGATACATGTCATGCTTGACTTGTCAAGTTGCAGAGATAGTTTGTGGCCAAGCAGTGCGCTCTCGCGCGAGACGACAACTGAATACAGCACAAACACCATGCAAGATCGGGTGAATCGGACAAACTTCACGAATAAAAACTACAGAGACCATGGACAGTGCTTTCAGCTACGGTCACAGGCCCAAACAGCATTTTGCAGCCAGGCAACTTTGTCTGAGTCCATGGAGGAAAATACATTACGAAGAGTCTCCTGCGCAATGCGCAAGTCATACATGGCATGTTCTTATCAGCGCGCAAAGCAAACAGAATGCGCACGACATCATCTAGATTCATGCTTGAACACGGGGTTCGCCGGTGTTTGCACATGAACCCGTCCGAGTATTGACTCGACTTCACCAGCTGCTCTTGGATGGCCTTGGTGGAATCAGGGGTGCCCCTTCACCCCCTCGGATATTGCCCGCATGCAGAGGCATCGCTCAGTCCCAGCCACATTTTTTGACCCCCACTGCGTCTTAGCCTCCCACTGCCTCCTGGTCCATACTGGCACGCTCAATAGCGCTGCTGCAAAACACCGCAGTGACGACCTGCAGGGCGGCATGTTGACGGGAACGCGTTGCGCACGAAATGGCGCAGCCGGCAGGGGCTCAGCCACAGCCCTGCAATTTCTAGGGTTCGATTCTTGCCTGGCACGCAGGGGTTCCCGAGGGAAGAAGCGCCCGCAAAAACCACGGGCCAAAACGCTACTCACAAGTTCAAGAGATGAAAATCAAGGCAATACAAGTTTCACTCGGCTGATCCATGTGCCCAATGGGTTGCGACCAAGGTGCGTTCATCATTGCAAAATAAATCAGACTAAAGTACAGGAGGAACACTGCCTCGGCTCACCACCCTGCCAAGTTGCACCATCGAAAGCAGTCACGACTCAAAGCACAGCTCTTGGTCCTGCCCAATTTTTTGCATGGCTGACGCCTTATAAAGGGTTCCATCATCATAACTGGGTGGATCCAATTCAGGCCATGCAAGGGCGGCGCCAAGCACTCTGTGTTTCCTGGTGGGCAAATGTTCTAGGCTCAAGCTTGGCAATAGGACGCGTTTGTCAAAGCAACGCAAATTGAAGGAACTCCTGAGGGGGCCTTAATGATCAACGACTCATTCCTGTAAGCAGTCACGCACATGCCAGTTACTTAGCTTCATTCTGGCAGCTTAAATCCGCTTGGTGGAAGCGGGCTCAAGGAAGAGGCTGCCAGCTTCACGCGGCTGCAACCCGTGTCAAGGCCAGGGCGCGACCCAGAACCAGTGGATTTCCAGCAGGGCCTGCTCCACCTCCCACCAGTTCAGCCCACCTTAGCTCACAGCGCGCTGAGGTTCTCTTGGCAAAGGTCATGGTGGGCTAGCCCCGCCAAGCAGGGGCAGTTGGTTTATATAGACTTTGTATCCCTTGCACATTGGGTGAGCCAACCACCCCTATCCAAATGTCATCCGAAAGAACACGTCGCGCACCCCCTGCAAACTGTCGGCTGGGTTGGGGCCTGCAAACATGGCCAAGACAGCCCGCGGAGCCTATAATACTATGGTTTGGAGCACACTTATTTTCCGCTTCTCGGTCTCTCTTTATCTTTATCGTTCTCTCTTTCGTTGATTCTGTGTGTCCCTTTCTCTTTCGAGTTTCCTCTCTCTCTGTTTCTTCTCTTTCTCTGTGTCTTTCTCCGTCTCCTTCTCGTTCTCCTTCTCTATCTTTCTTGCTTGTCTTTCTGGTTTATCTTTCTACTTTCTACCTTATATGTTTCTTTATCTTTATCTGTATCTTTATCTTCTCCTTTTCCTTTCCTTGATTTCTTTTTGATCTCTCTTTATCTTTCTCTTTCTGTTCTCTTTCTGCATTTGTTCTCCTTCTCCTGATCTTTCTCTTTCGCTTCCCCGTGTCCTTCTCCATTTGTTCTCCTTCTCCTTCTCCTTCTCATTATCCGTCTCTTTCTCTTTATGGTTCTCTCTCTGTCTCTCTCTCGCTGTCTTTCTCTCTCTTGTTATTTTTGTGTCTCTTTCCCTTTGTCTTTCTCTGATTATGTCTCTCTCTCTCTCTCTCTTTTTCTTATGTTTTTCCTTTCTCTGTTTCTTCTCTTTCTCCGTGTCTTTCTCCGTCTCCTTCTCGTTCTCGTTATCCTTCTCTCTCTCTCTCTCTTATTTCTCTTTCTTCTTTATCTTTCTACTTTCTCTGCTTCTTTCCATCTGTCTCTTCTGCTTCTCTTTCCCTTGATTTCTCCTTATCTTTATCTTTCTCTTCTCTTTCTGCGTTTGTTCTGCTTCTCGTGCTCTTTCTCTTTCTCTTCCCCTTCTCTTTCTCCATGTTTTCTCCTTCTGGGTCTCTTTCTCTTTCTCCTTCCCTTTCTCTGCTGGACGTTGCGGGCCGACGAAGACTCACCCAGTATGCCGTTCAAGCGTCACTGCCAGTACTGGCCTTGGCTCCGCATAAGGCTGTTGCGGGCTTTGCCTGCTTTAAACTGTAGGTCTTGTTGGCCCCAGTGGAAACTACAGCGTCTGAGTGAAACCTGTCCAAACACGTCAGTGGTTCCATCCGGAAGGGCGCCGGAGCCATCAGGCATGATCGTGCTCCCCACGGCGGATTCAGGCGCTCCGCTACCAATGTGAATCCCCCCCTTGTGCTCCAGGCACCCCTTCCTGGAAAGAAAGGAGCTCAGGGCAATCTGATGGTCTGAGCATTCGACATAAGCACCAAGCGCAATGGACTTTGCTGGCCGATAGAGGCTCCTCCCAACAATCTGCCCTTGAGCCCGAAGTGTCTGCTTTGATACCAAGATACTGAATGGGCTGGCACCCTCAAAGCGAACCGAGGCGCAGCACAGCTACGAGGAGGACATAGGAGATTTCTGTGTGCCCTGTGTAGCTGTGTGCAAACATGTCGTGCAACTCTGACATCCTGAAATGGACTCCTCCTTCACAGGTTCTGTCCAATAAGTCTTTTCTCACGGCTTGGTGACTTCCGAGGAGAACGTGCTGACAAGATCTGACAAGTACCGTCCCCTCATCTGCGATGTTTCTCAAGAATGCAGTGGGAAATTACCTTTGACACCATGGAACTTGCACAGTTGACGAATCGCCGACAAAAGTAGCCATCTCAGGCACTTCCACCAGCCACTCGCTTTCTCACAAAGCTCCTTGCGTCCGCGGCGCCTGTGCAGGATTGCAGCAGCGTGCCGAAGGTGCGAGAGATGGAAGTGAACAGCCGTTTCTCGTGGGGCAAATTCTCGAGCTCCTGCGACATGTCTGAATCTGACCCGCCAGCTTCAGCAACTCAAACTGAACACCCCCTGGCTGTCTTCCGGTCCCGGACATTCCCGACAACCCCAACATAGGAAATCGAAACACGAATTTCCACATGCAACTTGAGCTTTCTCCAACGCTCCTGCTGCTGCAGGAAGTTCGAATCATTCACCGCCTGCAAATGGAGCGGGAAAAACAGTCAAAGGTTGCACATCCCGAATGCGGCTTCGCCAAAATTGCTTCCTCCAACTGGCTGGCTTCCTACTAGTTCCCTTGTGAATCATCTCTCAGTTTCCTACAAGTCCCCTTATTGAAGCCCACCAAACAAGTACGAGTCCCTTCATGTTGACACGTTCCCATGCGGCTGTGTGTCAAACGGTCCCTTTGGTCGGACTGCAAAACAAGGCAAAGGAAAGCATTCCCGCTGCAAAGGGTTCCGAATTTTGACCCGCTCGCGTCACAACAGTCTCGTCTGACCTGCCCATAGACTTCGTCTGCATGCTACACGGCGGGGCAGCTTGGCATGCGAGAGACATTGCGCCTGCTGGAAAACAACCGCGAAGCAGTAGACAATGATGCTCCTCAGTCCAGGCGGAATGTGCTACCTCCGCATTTACAAGGAAAAGACTGGACCAAAATCAAGAAAGCAGGCTGAAGGGAAATGGAGAAGCAAAAAGAACAGCAACAGAAAAGAGACACACGCAGAACACCAAGAAGTCAAAGAAAAAGGAGAAAGGGGAAACACATCAACAAACCAATGTCCTCTGGCCACCTGCAAGAGGGCCAGGCACATGGATGAGCAAGATGTCTGACCTTTTGCCCCTTCCCATGGGGACGACCCCTGGGTCTCCATTCCTTCAGCCGAAGTTGTCTACCTCAAGGCCAGGCGACAAGAGCGCAATGGCCCAGAACAGGGACCGCATGGTCGCCAGCATGGAGTGGTAGATCATCCGCAGGGCCTCCAGGGCCGACATTACCCATCACGTGATCCCTTGGATCCACTACTCCAGCGCTCAGCTTGCATAAATTTGCAGCTTTGGGCTTTGGATGCCAAATCAATCTGCCCTGGGTCATGTCAGCCATGTGAGCTGACAGCTGGCTTGCGTAATGTGCACTGCACAAGCGTGCAGAACACACCTACGCCAGTCACGCGGTCTTTCTGTCGCCCGCGCATCCGCTGTGCTGCGGGGCTTAGCATCTTGTGTGCCAGCACGCTTCTGCGAGCCACCGGCGGCTCGCTTCGCGGCTCGCTTGCGGTGGCTTGAACAAGAACCAGCACGCCTCTCACTGGTCGCAAAAAACCAGCAAGCCCAAATGTCGCAAAAAACAATACAGTGCTGTCTCTTTTTCACCAGCCAACATGTCCATTGCTTGTTCAAGCCAGCGCAGTTCGCATGGCATCCAGCTAGAATTCTCCAGGGCAACGGAACAGGAGCCAAGTCCCACGGCAAACGGTCACCTGGACCTGTACAAAGGCTCACTCCACCAAACTGCCAGCCCAGGGGCTGGAGGACAGGGACACCTCAGCCCGGCTTTCAGGGACGAGTCGCCAGAAACATTTCAGCGGCGACTTTGGGTCTACGGCCATGCAAAGCGTCCGAACTCAAGTCCATGCTGCACTGCGCGTTAGCTGTATCCATTTTCGAGTGGCAATGGTCTTTAAGCATGCGCGATAAAGACATACGTTTCAGAGAGCGACACTATTTCTATAGCGTGGCAAACAAAGTTAAACCGTGGGATTTGACTTGCTTGAACCTTCATGAAAACAGTCCTCTGCAAAGTCGTGTCGCTTCTCATCTCCAATATTTCACAGGGAATGGGTAGGCGCCTGCAAGTTGAGACACCGATAGATTGTCTGAATCTGGAATTGAAGGAACCAAGCACGGCACTCTGCACTCGAGTTTTTCGTGCTATCACCAAAACCGATTTCGAGCTCGGCCCTTGGCAGTTAAGTTGCGACAACTCCATCTAGAAGGTGGGTGTAGTTCCTGTATTGTGAGGTGTCCAAAGGGAACCCGCAGACAAACAACCACTTATTTAGCCGGAACAAGCTGGGTTTTGTCTTTTCTGAGCCACCACAGGAAAGCATGTGTTGCTTTTTGTTTGGGAGGGAGGGGGAGTACATACGCCCGATTTGGAGACAGACCCAGGTCGACTGGAGGGCAACACCCCCGCCTGGCGCGCCCGGTTCGACACCTTCACGCCCATCTTCACGTTCATGGCGGCCAGCTCCACCGCCAGGTACCGGAAGACCCAAGGGACCTCGCGGATCTGAACAGGGCTAAAACGTGTAGAAAACCCGTGGAAAATCCATGTAAAACCCACGGAAAACCTGGAAAAACCTTGAAACCGGACGTCGCGAGCCGAGTTCGTCCGAGCGAGTCGAACCTCCAAAATGATTGGCCTTCGGTGCGATCGGCTTGTTAGGGAGGGGGTGGGGGTGGTTTTTGGCCCCTCCGCCAATGGGGAATGATTCCCCCACTAACCCCTATTGAGAAACTGGGGTTGAGAGAAA